ACCCTCCCGGGGGCCCCGGTGCCCCCCCCCCCCCAGTCTATTTCCTTGCCCCTGGATCTTGCCATGGCCCATGCTTCCTGGGGGCCGGTCCCTGGGGGCTGGGGTCCCCTTTCCCGGGCGTGGTGGGGATGGCTGGAAGTGCAGAGCTGGCTTTGGGGCTGTGCAGGGTTTTTGGGGGGAGCTCTGCCCCATGGGGTCTCACCCCAGGATCCGGCCTGATGTTCCACCATCCCCGTGGGGTGACTGCAATCGTCTCCTGCACCTTTCCCCACCGTGAAGGCAGCGGTTTGGGTGGGGGCTGGGGTCCCCTTTCCCGGGCGTGGTGGGGATGGCTGGAAGTGCAGAGCTGGCTTTGGGGCTGTGCAGGGTTTTTGGGGGGAGCTCTGCCCCATGGGGTCTCACCCCAGGATCCGGCCTGATGTTCCACCATCCCCGTGGGGTGACTGCAATCGTCTCCTGCACCTTTCCCCACCGTGAAGGCAGCGGTTTGGGGCTGAGGACGCCTGATTTTCCCCCTTGCCTTGGTGCCCAGCACCCCTTGGCCCCTCCATCCCCCTCCTCTTTTATTTTATTTTTTTTTTTTTTTCATGGTGCAGCAAGCTGGGGAAGGTGCAACCTGGGTCTCGCTGCGTTGCTGCCCCCAGGGGCGGAATATTTTGGTGAGCGTGGTGTTACCCCCTTCCCCTTCATCCCCCATCCTCCAAGGGCACCTTGAGGCAGGGGAGCAGGGATGTGATCCCCAATCCTTGCACCGCTGTGATTTTTTTTTTGTGTGTGTGGGTTTTTGGGGTTTTTTTTAATTTTTTTTTTGTTGTTGTTGTTCCCCACTGATTTATTATTTTTTTCCCCAGCACCTCCTGAAAATCCCCCAAGCGGGGGAAATAGCTGGAGCAGGGCACACCGGGAGCTACCGCTACCCATTAATTGTGGTCCTCCATGGGGGACCCCATCCCACAGCAGCTCCCTGGGGAGATTTGGTGGCAGAGTCACACCCGTCTGCCCCGTCCCAGTGTTGGGGTGCAGTCAGGAACATTACCCCCCCCCCCACCAAAGGGCTCCATCCCTGACTTGCTCCAGGCCTCTCAGGCTCTCGGGACTGCTCTGGGGGTGGCTGTCCTGGATCCGGCCGTGCTCTCGTTTGGTGAATAAATAATAAAAACTAAAGTGGGTTTTGCCCGAATGGGGCTGGTTTATGACTTGTCTCCTTGTTGGGGTCCCCACTCTGCACCATGGGCCAGCTTGGGGGGTGTCTGGGGAGCTCCCTGCTTGGGTTTGCAACCTTTTTTTTTGGGGTCGTTGCTGTATTTTGACCTTTGCTGCGGGACCCTGGGTTTGTGCAGGATCGGGGGGGCTGTGTGTGCGTGTAGCGTGGTGTTACCCCCTTCCCCTTCATCCCCCATCCTCCAAGGGCACCTTGAGGCAGGGGAGCAGGGATGTGATCCCCAATCCTTGCACCGCTGTGATTTTTTTTTTGTGTGTGTGTGTTTTTGTTTTTTTTTTTAATTTTTTGTTGTTGTTGTTGTTCCCCACTGATTTATTATTTTTTTGTTTTTGGGGTTTTTTTTAATTTTTTTTTTGTTGTTGTTGTTCCCCACTGATTTATTATTTTTTTCCCCAGCACCTCCTGAAAATCCCCCAAGCGGGGGAAATAGCTGGAGCAGGGCACACCGGGAGCTACCGCTACCCATTAATTGTGGTCCTCCATGGGGGACCCCATCCCACAGCAGCTCCCTGGGGAGATTTGGTGGCAGAGTCACACCCGTCTGCCCCGTCCCAGTGTTGGGGTGCAGTCAGGAACATTACCCCCTACACGCTCCCCCCCCCCCCCAAAGTGATCCCTGACTTGCTCCAGGCCTCTCAGGCTCTCGGGACTGCTCTGGGGGTGGCTGTCC